TTTAGACATCTTTGGGAGGACTGAAAATTGGCAGGCCACTGTACTTGTGGAGCCCAAAGGCACTTTTGAGGCTTAAAATGTGGGTTTCATGTGTGTACATATATATTCCTTTAACAAAAGAGGACGTACTGATTTTGCTGATGGGTTAAAGACCTGATGATACCAAGTATGAGGCACTACAGCAAGTTGGCAACAAGAAATAATCACTGTTTATTTGCTATAAATGGGACACAGTGTAAACATTTGACCCTGTCAAAACTCTGTAATTCAAACTAACTGAACATCACAATTTCACAATAAAATGTATGATGAAAACAGTAACGTACATACATATTACAAACATAGTACAAGCATTTTTCTTTCATTCATTTTCTTGTCAGACACTTTAAAACCCTGTTTAGTAAGTTTTTTAAAGCTTCAGATATTTTATTCTGAACAAACAGTTCATTAACACAACACTGTACCCTTTTGAATACATTCTAAAACTGAACTTGTGTATTAACAAGGGAAAAAAAATTACAATTAGTCAGCCCTTCTTCCATGCTCCTGCTACGTAGCCTTAGCTAGTAGAACAGTGTACCACTGAAGATAAAACAGAAATAATGCATGTAATAAGTAAAAGATTTAATTTATGCAGATATAACAACAGGTATGAGGAGATATAAAAACAAAACTTAATGAGTGTGGAGTATGGAGAGAGGTTTTTGGCTGCTACCTCTCATTTAACTTGACTCCCAAAATTAATTCTCCCATAACAACAGCAGCTGGCTTCCAGCTTGTGGCTCCAATTCCTACATTAGAAAAAAAAAATGGCAGAAAAGTTCAAAACAAATCAAATGCATAATCAAATTATTATATATTTATGAAAAATGTATCTAATAATAACAATAATAAAAAAAGGATCAGCTTTCAGTCCCAGTTTGTAACAATATGTATAGCAGAACATTTTAATCTTTTGTGTGAGGTTATTAAAATGTATTTTGATTGTCGCCTGGTTGAGGAATATACCTTACACCAGTGATTTTTAACCATGGGTGAGCCATGCCTTGAGGAGCGCAAAACATTTTTTGTTTTACACCTGTGGGCTGTGGGACATCATTAGTTATTAATTGAAGACACCAGGGACTACTGTTATCCATAAAAATCTCAGTTACAATACAGCTTCTCCCAGCTTGGTGGGAGTTGTTTAATCAGCCTCAATAAGCAAGCAGAAGAAGACACCCTGCCTGCCGTCTGCAAAATATATGGAGTAGTTCTTAAAATG